ATTCCCCTGCTTATCCATCCAAAGCAAGTATATTAGACCTGGGCTCAGCAACCTATGGGCCATAGACTGGATCAGACCTGTGAAGAGAGAGTGGATCTAGCCCACTGCAGCTCAGATAATCAGCAGTATGCTTCAGTCATGGCAGCAGAGGAAGCATCCGCAGTGTCCTAGAGCCTGCACTTTTCTATTCCCCTTGCAACATCTGCTGATCACTGAAGGTATGGGGCTGCGGCCCAGGGCAGGGGGTGGCACATAAGCAAATGCCCACAGTGCCAAAAGGTTGACAAACTCTGTGTTAGACTTTTTGACTAGCGCTACACCAGGAACTTGAGACCATGACCATCATGGGGTTTTTTTGTTTGCTTATTTTTGAGGGCCTTCTCTTCAGGAGTTTAACATCTTTTCTACAGGGCTTATATTCTTCAGTACAGCCAAATGTAAATTCATGCACGTCTTATTTACTTGCAACCAATTTATCAAGTGGTCCAGACTGCTCTGCAGCAATTATCCACTTTCTTAATTATTTACTACTTTCTCAATTTTGATGTAGTCTGGAAACCTGACTTGTGCATTTTTTCCACAAGATTAATGTAGGTGTTAAATAGCATAGGGCCAAATGCCACCCTAGTAGGCTCCAATCATAAATATCTTCCCCAGTGATGATTCCCCATTTACATTTACCATGTTTATTGGAATCCAAGAAAAGGGTTCTTCTCCCCCGCCCCATAAAACATATAGAAAAAACCCCCTCATCTGGGATTCAAGTGCAAGTCAGGGGAGCAGGTAGCTGCTGCAGCCCTGACTCCAGCCCTGCAGCCACTGCCCACTGCTCCTGCTGCCTCTGCCCTGCTATCACCACTTACCCTCAAACTGGCCCAGAGTTGCTCCAGTCCCAGTCAAGACAAGCAGCAGCCAAGGCTGGAGCCAGGGCTGCTGCAACTGCTTCATGACTGGGCTGGGGCTGGGACAACCACGTGCTCTGTGCTCCAGATCTGGACCCACAGGGTAAGCAGCAGTTACAAGGCAGGTAGTGAAGGGAAGAGGGAGCAGTATGGGAACCCGATGCAGGGGTCAGACCACTTGACTACCCTACTGCAGGGACAGGAGGGGGTCATATAGTTTGACTGTACATGTAGAAAATTACAACAAATTTATAAATTTTCCATGTACAGAATCCAATTATTGAGTCATCTTAAATTCAGAGTAGTCTTGGATTCAGATATATATGGTATAGTGAGTTACAATTAGTATAATAGTATAATAGTTTTCAATCTATTTAATGTGTGCCATCTTGAGTCTGAATCATTCCAATTTTTTTTTTTTTTACATAATATAGCACCAAGAAATATGCTTTACAGGAGTCTATTATATTAATAAATTTACCTTTATCTTCCAAACTTGCAAACTAAATAAAAAAAAGAAGTCTGACCAGATTAGATTTACATAAATCCATGCTTACTATATCATATTTTCCCCCTTAAGCTTTAATTAATAAAATCCAATATCAGCCATTCTGTTATTATGTCTGGAATCAATGTCAGGCTGAAAGACTTCACAAGACTCTACTTCACTTTCATTTTATGGAAACAGTGGCAGAAAAAATAGCTTTCTTTCATTCTCCTAAGCTTCCCCCCCACCCATCCACCCCAAAACAGTTGGGGGGGGGGGGGGGGGGGGGGGGGGA